GCTCGCTCTCGAGCCGTCTCTGTGCGTCTATGGCAAGGGGTGGCCAACCTGCGGCTCTCCAGCTGCTGCAGGACTACAAGTTCCATCATGCCTCTGCAAGTCAGTAACTTCCCATCTTTGCAATGCCTCATGGGAAATGTAGTTCCACAACAGCTGGAGAGCCACAGGTTAGCCACCCCTGGATGGGATACACAGAGCATGGCTCAGTCCCACCTCTGGCTGAGATTGACAGCAATGGGAGCCAATGGCAGTATCTCAGCTGATGAGGATGGAGAGACCCCGGAGAGCCGCTGCTCTTGTACACAGTGCTGGATTGCAATGAAGCTCAGGCAGGGGCGGACTGACCATTCGAGCACTCGGGCACTGCCCGAGGGCCCAGGGTCAGTAGGGGGACCCATGAAATGCCCCTGGTACCTTTTTATAGGCTTTTTTGGGTGTGCTTTGAGTGTGGGCAAGGACACAGGGGCCCTATGATCCCCTATTGCCCAGGGGCCCCATGAGTTGTCAGTCCGCCCCTGAGCTCAGGTAAGTATTAGGGGGGCTGATGGGGGGAGCTGCACACTGATGGTTTTTTACCTTCATGCATAGAATGCATGTCCTGTCCCAACTTTTTTGAGACAAGTTACATCCATCAATTTCAAAATTACCTTATTTTTTCTTACAAATGGTCCATATTCTCCGTTTTAACATTTGATATGTTTTCTATTTTCTATTGTCAATACAATATGGGTTTATGAGATTTGCAAACCACTGCTTTGTTTTTATGTATATTTTAGATGACATCGCTAATTTTTTGGACTAGGGTTGTCCACAGATCAAGAACGGAGAGTACCCAACCTGCTCCTTTCCTAGCCACAGGTGTCAAGACTTCAAATCTCTGAACATAAAAGTGCTCAGAGCTGAGTGTGCAACCAGGTGAGCACCTTAATGTCAAGGTCCTACCTTTTCCCAGCGGTTATGTTACTCCATGTGCTGGCATCCATCTTGGATTTCTGCAGAGCATGGTGGGAATCTTTTATGCCTTCAGGTCTCTGAGGTCCATCCCCCAGAGGGGTGTGGCTGATGACATATAAGCCTGTGGTCCGCACATGCCCTTTGCACTTATGTCTTGGTGTTGCTATAACTCTGTTCTGACTCTCGTGACTCTCCTGGAATCTGACTCGGCTTGTGACTTGACTATTCTTTGTGTTCTCCTTTGATCTGACCCTCCATTGCTGAACCCGGCCCGTGACCTGTGATTCTCGTCTGCTGTCCTGTACCGGTTTTGTCCCGTTGTTGTCGACCCGGCCTGCCTGACTACTCTATTGTCTTTTCCACCAGCTACACGCCATTGGCGGCGGCCATTACCGCAACTGGGGTGTCTCGGGAGCCGCGACCTGGTTCCTGACTGCGTCAAGTCCATCCCCACCATCAGGGGCCCTGGTGAAAGGCAGCCTGGGACTTAGACTCCGCCCCCTGAGGGACTTCGGTCTGTGGGTGGTGGTTGTCGTCAGCCAGTGCGTTACATTGTTATTAGGCCTGCCTGTCCGTTCCTCAGCTCCAGCCCTGACACTTAACCCTTTCCCTGCCAGGTCCGTACATTGTAGCCACCAGGATTGTGTATAAAACGGACAAGCAGACCCCTGCCTGTCAGGTGGAAACAGTTGGGGGGCTGCGCTGCTACCTGAAAACTTCCACAACCCGCAAGCCCCCACCCCAGAACTCGCGCTCCCGCCATGTATCCAGGGCCCACTTGCCCATCTGCAGGCCTGGAGAGCGCCAAGGCGGGTGCCGGCGGGTGGAGGGGAGAGAGGAGAGAGGATAAAGGAACTCCCCTTTTTTCTGTGACCTGGAAGGTGATGTGTATGATGTCACTTCCGGGTCACAGCTGTCACCTTCCCCGGTTAGAATAGCCGGGGATAAATGTATTGCAATGCGATCTGAATCTGTCACCTAAAAATCATCACATAGGGGATCTTGTGTCCCCTATGTGATGAAAAAAAACCAACAGGTTAAGTAAAAAATTTTTTAATTGCAAAAGTTACACTCAAGCACATAACCCCCCCCAACAAAAAATTTTGAGGCCCCTCCCACCCCCACTTATACGCACGTATAAATGTAAACGCGCACATCAGGGTGCCTACGTGTGAAAATGCTGACTGCGATGCGCATGTTACATTTTGCCGCACATGCCGGAGCAATTCTAGCACCAGACCTCCTCTGTAACACTAAACCGATGACCTATAGGGGGCTTTTGAAGCGTCACCTACAGAATATATAGGGCACTGAAGTTTGTCGCCATTTCATAGGTGCACATAAATTTAAGGTTTGGCATGTTGAGTATCTATTTATGTATTTATAAACATTTGGATAATTTATTGTGTTTGTGTGCCCTAAAGTGCACTTTAATGTGTTTTTTACTGAAATTTTGCGTTTCCTAGACCTTTGCGATAATATTCAGCGATATAAAAAATTGGAACTACCCCTATTTTATTCTCTAGGGTGTCTGTTTTCAGAAAATATATAATTTAGTTTTTTTTTTGGGGGGGGGGGTTGTGTAATTTTCAGGCCTGAAATAATTCTTTAAACATGTGTGCAGAAAATGCAAACACGTCTCTGGCAGCGAACGGGTTAAAGGAGAGATCAGGGAATGATAGTTCTTCCATCTCTTGCCACCCTCCACAATGAATATCACTGATCATTAAGGCACTTTGGGGGAGTGTAGAAGTCACCAAGTGACCTAACAGCCTCCCAAATAATTTCTACTAAAAAAATAGAGCCGGAAGAAAAAGGTAAGCAAACTCAGGGCTGCTTTTTCAATGACAAATAGTACACCTCCCCAATCCGCCAACGCAACCCGTAAAACAAAAAAAACAAATTTCCAGGATATAGGCAAATTAACTCAGTAAAATAAGGTCCTGATTAGGGCTCTTGTATGCTCAGATCACCAATACACACTTATCGGAATAACAATTTAAATCATGTTTTACCCTCACTACATCTGAGATGGCTGTTTTGTTAGCTGGTCTTTGTAGCTAAAAGTTGAATATTCTGATATTTTTCTGATTATGTCAGTATTTCTGTGCTCAAAGCGGTGCATTTTTTTGAATGGAAATATGTCGTTTTTTTTATTATAGGCCTGTAATTCGTAGGAATAACTCACTGAAATCTGTCCGAACAAGAGTCTAGTAAACATCCGGATATGATAAAATTGAAACACGAAATCATAAATTATAATTCAATAAACAATCATAAAAAAAATAATAATATAATAAATTAAATCAAACCAAAAACACTGAAATGTGAAATATAGCGCCAAGTTCGCACATCGCTGAGCAAATTCGCAGAATCGTTTTCAGTGTCTGATGAGGAATTTCCCCCACGAATCATTATCACTCAATTCTGCAAGTGGTTCTGATTTACTATCGCTGTTCTCTAGCCGGTCTAAAACCGCTTTTGACCTAAAGGGACGCTTTTTGGATGCCATGGAGGTTTCTCAGTTTCCAGGCAGAAAGAACAGTAAAAATGCAGGCAGGGCGCCGGACAAAGCACTCGGGACAAAATGTATGTGAAATGGTTTGATACAGGAATGTAATACTACTATCAGATTTTAGTGTATTTAGTGAATGTCACTTTTAAAATTTTTGAATTTCCCACCGGTTCCGTTCCCCGTACGTCACGAAGCTCGCAGGGAACGGAACCCAAAAGACGGATACCGGCATCGGCCGCAGGAGATGGCCGGGGACGCTGCAGGGGGGACATCGCGGGAGCGAAGGACAAGGTAAGTGAAGAAGAGATCCCTGAGCAACGCTGCAGTGTATTCCCGAGTGTAGCTCGAGGTTACCACTTTTGGTACTTAAAGTTTACCCCGAGCTACACTTGGGAATACCGCCAGGGAGGTTATTGGAATCTTCTCTTCCTCCTACCAGTCCATCCTCCACAGTTAATACCTTTTGTACCACAAGCCCCTCTCTCTTAGATTGTAAGCTCCCAGGATCAGGGCCCTCCTATCCCTCTTGTATTGAACTGTATTGTTGCTGTATTGCCTCCCTAAGTGCTGAGCAAACTGTTGGCGCCATAGAAATCCTGTATAATAATAATAATATATAAATCCTGTATAATAATAATAATATAAATCCTGTATAATAATAATAATATAAATCCTGTATAATAATAATAATATAAATCCTGTATAATAATAATGTGGTTTGAATGTACTTACTGACACAACAACAGATGGGTAAGAAGGACAAACTCCAGGAGTCTGAAGTAATCCGGACAGTTTCTGGGTTTCCTCAAAATCTGATTCTTTAACCTGAGAAACAAAGTATATATATTAGTGGAGGGCAACCCAAAAAGACTTAAAGTGGAACCCAAAAAAACTAGATAAAAAAAAAAATGCTCTTTAGCAAGGAACATACATTCTACAAGTCCTCATGCACACTGGACGTTTTTACAGCGGCTGTTTTCAGCGTTTTTTTTTCTACAGCCAGTAAACCCCCCAGCATGTTATCCTATGTGTCCATACACACATAGGTTTTAATCAGTGTTTTTGGCTGGAAAAAAACCCAGAAATAGTGGGTTTCTAGCAGAGTTTTTTTAGCTGTAAAAACACTCTAATGCTGGTAAACGCGGTAAATCGCAGCAAACTGGCGTTTTTGGACATTGTTTGAGCAAAAAAATTTTTATTGTTGTAAAACACGCGAAAAACAAAGAAAAAACGCAGCTAAACGTGGTCAAACACGAATGCAAAAATGCTAAACGTGTATTTTTAATGTGACTTTATACAGCTAACATTACCGGCATTTTAAAAACACCCCGTGTGCATGAGGACTAATAATTCTGCTACCAAAATTAAAGCGTTACTAAACCCACAACAGTAAAATTGGTCTGTATATGCAGTAAAGCATGCTGGTTATACTCACTGTGGAACCTAAGGGGTTAATCCTCTTTGTGTAAAAACACTGTTTGATTCTGACTTCCCTGATCCTCCCCTTCTTCCAGTGTCCCCCTCTTATCACCTAGAGCAAAATGAAAACTCCTACAAGCTTTAACCAGTGCTTTGCTGGACACTGATAGACGTCACAAGACTGCTATATACAGCTGATGAAAAAAGGTATTTATCAGTTTATAGTTACTAAAATAATTGCACTTCCATGTGTATACTGTGGGAGACCAGATATAGTGAATGCAGGGTCGGGGAGACCAGATATAGTGAATGCAGGGTCTGGGGAGACCAGATATAGTGAATGCAGGGTCGGGGGAGACCAGATATAGTGAATGCAGGTCGGGGAGACCAGATATAGTGAAGGTCGGGGAGCAGGAATGCAAGGTCGGGGAGACCGGATATAGTGAATGCAAGGTCGGGGAGACCGGATATAGTGAATGCAGGGTCCGGGGAGACCGGATATAGTGAATGCAAGGTCGGGGAGACCGGATATAGTGAATGCAGGGTCCGGGGGAGACCGGATATAGGGAAAGCAGGGTCCAGGGAGACCAGATATAGTGAATGCAGGGTTCGGGGGAGACCAGATATAGTGAATTCAGGGTCCGGGGAGACCGGATATAGTGAATTCAGAGTCCGGGGAGACCAGATATAGCGAATGCAGCGTCCGGGGAGAACAGATATAGTGAATGCAGGGTCCAGGGAGACTGGATATAGTGAATGCAGGGTCCAGGGAGATCATATATAGTGAATGCAGGGTCCGGTGAGACTGGATATAGTGAATGCAGGGTCCAGGGAGATCATATATAGTGAATGCAGGGTCCTGGGAGACCAGATATAGTGAATGCAGGGTCCTGGGAGACCAGTTATAGTGAATGCAGGGTCCGGGGAGAGCGGGTATAGTGAATGCAGGGTCCTGGGAAACCAGATATAGTGAATGCAGGGTCCGGGGGGAGACCAGATATAGTGAATGCAGGGTCCTGGGAGACCAGATATAGTGAATGCAGGGTCCTGGGAGACCAGTTATAGTGAATGCAGGGTCCGGGGAGAGCGGATATAGTGAATGCAGGGTCCTGGGAGACCAGATAGAGTGAATGCAGGGTCCTGGGAGACCGGATATAGTGAATGCAGGGTCCTGGGAGACCGGATATAGTGAATGCAGGGTCCGGGGAGATCAGATATAGTGAATGCAGGGTCCGGGAGACCAGATATAGTGAATGCAGGGTCCGGGGAGATCAGATATAGTGAATGCAGGGTCCTAGAAGACCAGATATAGTGAATGCAGGGTCCTGGGAGATCAGATATAGTGAATGCAGGGTCCTAGGAGACCAGATATAGTGAATGCAGGGTCCTGGGAGACCAGATATAGTGAATGCAGGGTCCGGGGAGACCAGATATAGTGAATGCAGGGTCCTGGGAGACCAGATATAGTGAATACAGGGTCCGGGGAGATCAGATATAGTGAATGCAGGGTCCTAGGAGACCGGATATAGTGAATGCAGAATCCTGGGTTTAGGAACACTTTAATGTGTGCTGTAAATTGCCTCCAACAGTATTCCCATTTCTTCTTGCCAGAAGCTGCCATTTTTCTGAATCCCAGAGACCCTGAGCAGTTTAAATCTTTAGCATGTCAGCAGATTGGCCTCTAGATTCTCACAATAGTGCCAAAAAATAGAGAGCAACTGAGCATGTGCAGAGCAGGATAAGACAACTTATTACTGGATTTTAAATAGGCCCTTATTTTTAATGTTTTACATCGCTATACCTGCAAAAGGGACAGCCCAAAGTGATGTATTGGGACTTCATTTTCTGACTACAGTTCCACTGTAAGAGTAATGGGCAGTACACGGGTCTACAACAGCCTCTATACTGCTCCCTTCACAGTGGTAAATCAGGTACCTCTTGCCCCTCAGAAACACCCTCTGGCCCATTACTATAATGGGCTGCCTAACTAGACTATGGGAATTTGTAGGAAGCCATAAGAGATGGGCAAGTTTTGGCAATACCAGGAAATGCTGGAGCTTTGTCTATGAGAACATCCTGAATCTGGTTATAAAACCAGGGTATTATGCCTGGCTCACACCAATGCAGTTTGCTTTTGATCCATTTTTTAAATGCTTTTTGCATTTCGCTTTGTATTTTTACACACACATTTTGCCACGTTTTTACTGCATTCTGCATTTTTTCAGCCTTTTTTTTTTAAAGGGGAAATGTTTTTTTGTTGCTGGGTGAAATAAAAACACGAAACGTGGCAAAAACACTCTAAGTGCATTCCAGCAGCGTCTCCATTGAACTCTAGTGTAGCAAAAACACTGCTTCTTGTATTTAAAAAAAGTCCTTGACCCTTTCCAAAAACACAGCGGCAGCAAAATGCAAACATATCCAATAGGAAACCATATTAAATGGACTGTAGTGAGCTTCCAAACAGCAATAAAAAAGGCATTGGTGTGAACCAGGCCTTACAGTTTACTGATGACAAAAATCTATAACAAAATATCTTTCTGCAAGCATTTTCTAGTTTCTACAGCCAACTTCAGAGGACGTTCGGCTTAAAGGGGAGAAAGATTGAATATACGTTATAATATAAGGGCCATCTAGAAATGTTAATTAAGCCTAATTATGTTTTTCAGTAATATCAGTTTACCTCTCCTGCCTAGGCCCTCCTGTGGCTTAAGCCTAAAAGCTGTATATCTACAGTGTGAGATCACATAAGGCACTGCTGCCTGTGATGGTTAGACTCACCAGATTTGGAATGAGACTTTGTGATGTCAATAATGTGCTGCTCAAGGTTCTCCTTGCTGTAGAAGATGCTACACCTGAGAGTCTGCAGTGCAATGGCCTCCCTGCTTCTGTTTCTTTCATTCTATGAATCTGTGTTTTCATACTTCAGTCTTCCATTTCTCTTGCTGCTTCCTAATCACTAACCCATCTGCCATCAGATCACCAGTCATCAGACTGCCAGTCAGCAGGGGTCAACTCTGACATTTATTTATTATTTTATTTATTTCAGGTACTTATATAGCGCCGTCAATGTACCCAGCGCTTTACATATATATTGTACATTCACATCAGTCCCTAACCCTCAAGGGGTGTACAATCTAAGGTCCCTAACTCACATTCATACATACACATACTAGGGACAATTTAGACAGGAGTGTGGAAGGAAACCGGAGTACCCGGAGGAAACCCACACAGGCACAGGGAGAACATGTAAACTCCAGGTTGGTGGTACCGTGATTGGGATTCGAACCAACGACCCTAGTACTGCCAAGCAGAAGTGCTAACCATTTAGCCACTGTGCAGCCTCACATGAGGAAGTAAGGTCCTGCTTCAACCAAAATAACCCCTTTCACACAGAGACATAGCACAGAATAATGCATGATAAGTCAGCAACAGGGAAAATACCAGCTGCAGGGATAACACTGGTGACTAGTCCTTTGCCCTCTTCCTGCCTTTATATAGGTACAGCTTTCACAACAGGTTCTCTTTAATCACCACAAAACCCATGTCTTTGGTGGCCTTAACAAACACCCACATTATTATTATTATACAGGATTTATATAGCTCCAACAGTGTGCGCAGCGCTGTACAAAATGAAGGCAGACAGTACAGTTACAATACAATTTGGTACAAGAGGAAACAGAGGGCCCGGTTCGTTAGAACTTACAATCTAGGAGATATATGTCCATGGCAGCTGAGCTTTCTGTGCTGAAAGCACATTTGCTGCATGCTTTCAGCACACCAACCAGGCTGTCACTGACAGCTCCTAGTTTCTAGTTATGACCGTGAGCCATCAGGATAGGCTCCCAATCATGTGACCACTGTGACAGCCAATCACAGTGGTCACATGACCAGCAAGACCCAGTTAAAGAGCCGCAACGGATAAGCAAGAAGGGATTAAAATTATCTAGGTGAATGAACAGGTTCTCCTTATAGCCCAGCTCTTTTGCTACTTTTACTTACCTTCCTTGCATTCCTATGTGGAATGAGAAACTTTCAGAACACAGCTTATCTACTGTACACAGGGGCGGACTGACCATTCGAGCACTCAGGCACTGCCCGAGGGCTCGGGGTCAGTAGGGGGGTTCCATGAGATGCTCCTGGTACCTTTCATTGGCTTTTTCATAGGCTTTTTTGGGTGTGGGCGAGGACACAGGGGCCCCATGATCCCCTATTGCCCGGGGGCCCCATGAGTTTTCAGTCCGCCCCTGACTGTACAGATACTATTAAAAAAGCAAAAAAACTAAATGATATACATATGTTTTTGTGCATTCACCATTTCTTTCAATGGGCCAGGCTAAACACGTGTAAAATGCTACGTTGTATGAAAAAACAAAATACAATAAATGGCAGCCAACAAATGAGAAATGGGATACTTTACATTTATTTTCATGAACCATAGATGTTTCACTGCAGGAAAAGTGACAAGTGAGACAAGCTGACCCCAACACCTTCCCTGTCTCCTCTCAGTGAAAGGGAAGGGTCAGCCGGGTCACACATTGACAAGTTGAAAAAACACTTACACTTCAATCTGTCAAAAGCATTTACTGCTGCCCCCAAAGGTAGACCCGGATGCTCCAATCCACGCCCAAGTGTCAATCGCAACTTGATTCATGGAGGAAGTTGGACTGTTTATTGGACTGTACAGCCCAATGGGATGATGATGATGATGACAGTTCTAAAATATTGATATGATGATGATGATGATGATAAAAGAGCTATACATGATACTTATACAACTTAGGTCACTTCAATTCTTCAATCTGCACTCAAGCGTCAGTCGCAAGTTGACTCATGGAGAGAGTTAAACTGTTTATGGATTGTAGGGAGCTTGACTGTTAATTGGACTGTAAAGCTCAATGGGATGATGATGGTTCTATAAGAACAATATGATGATGATGATAAAAGAGCTATACAAGATGCTTATACGACAATTTACATTAGGTAAATTCTCTAATCTGCTCCCAAGTGTCAATTGCAAGTTGAATCATGAAGGGAGATTGTGACGGGAGTCACTTTGGGTGGGGGGCCCATGGAACACAGCTCACTTTGGAGAGGTGGGGAAACCCCTGTCTCAGCTCTCCATATCCCTCTTATGTGTAAGTCACCCTGTGCCTGTTAGGGGTACAGGGTGATCTGTCCTAATATTGTGTAGACATGTATAGGTGGGGTGGGGGTTTTGGATTGTTTGGTGTTATGGGGCTGCATACCATTGTTCTGTTGTTTGTCAGGCTTGGGAGCAAACTATTATGGGATGTATGTGTTTATGTTTATAAACATGACAGCGTTATATAAGTAACTGAAATAATGTTTATTGGCTTGGTGGGGGGTGTCTCCAGCAGCCCTCCTTGTGGGACTGTCTGCTGGTGTATCTCTTGTTACTAAATGTAGATTGCCCCACCCTGTGTCATTATGCAGGGAGTGGGGATTGCCCCCTTGCCCCTGAGTGTATATATCTTGTATCTGTGTTCAAATAAACTAGTCTACCTTCTGATTACTTCAAGATTGGTGTCATCTAGTCTTGTGTGGTCAGCAGCTGTGGTGTCTGTGGTCGGTGTTCGGACGGGGAAGCAGTATTTTAACCAGGGGCGGACTGACAACTCATGGGGCCCCCGGGCAATAGGGGATCATGGGGCCCCTATGTCCTTGCCCAAACTCAAAAAAGCCTATGAAAAAGGTACCAGGGGCATCTCATGGGGCCCCCTACTGACCCCGGGCCCTCGGGCAGTGCCCAAGGTTCCAAATGGTCAGTCCGCCCCTGATTCTAATGGAAGTACCCAAGTGCAGTCAGGGTCAGATCCATTACAGAGTTGGACTGTTTACAAACTAGATGGATTGTGCAGCCCAATGGGATGATAATGATGGTCCTATAAGGATGAAATGATGATAGTGAAAGAGCTATACATGATGCTTATATGACAATTTAGGCTAGCTAAATTCTTCAAATCTGTGTCCAAGCGTCAATCATAACTTGAATCATGGAGGAAGTTGGACTATTTATGGACTGGAGGAAGATGGACTGTTTAATGATGCCAATGATGATAAAAGTAAATATTGTAAGCTCCTATCCCTCTTGTATTGAACTGTATTGTTGCTGTATTGTCTCCCATTATATTGTACAGCGCTGAGCAAACTGTTGGCGCTATATAAATCCTGTATAATAATAATAATAATAATATATAAATCCTGTATAATAATAATAATAATGATATCCCTATATCAATAAAAATAATGAATTATTTCAACTTACATTGATACAAACAAAATTGTAGCAGTGTCCTTGTAAAATGCTCTGTAGGTCATGGCTTGTTTTGCACATTGATGATGAAACTGCTCTCACGTTCTACAACAAAGCAAAACGAAACAAAAAAAAAGTTAAATCAAATTTTAGAAAAATAATTTTGCAAATGTTGGCGAAGCAATAATGTTGAATATTGATGTTT